GAAGTGTGGAAGTGTGGAAGTGTGGAAGTGTGGAAATATGGAAATATGGAAATGTGTCTTCATTGTCTCTTTCTATTAACTCTGGAAGTGTGGAAACGTGGAAATGTGTCTTGGTTGTCTTTATCTAGTAACTCTGGAAGTGTGGAAGTGTGGAAAGTGGAAATATGTCTTCATTGTCTTTATCTAATAACCCTGGAAGTGTGTAAATCTGTAAATCTGGAAATGTGTCTTAGTTATCCCAGCCCGGGGAGAAGTGGGTACTTCCTTATAACAGGCAAATGGGGATGTGCCGCTGGATGGGGTTGTATTTTCAATAGAGTTACTAGAATGGGGTCGCACATTTTTGAATTTTTTGGGGTAAGACAGTTTTTCATACTTACGGTTAGCAAACCTACCAGAATGTTTGTACTGTAGATTAAAAGTAAAGTGTTCTTCATTCAATCTAAAAAATGGATCAATCCATAAAAATAGATAGTGACTAAGTTGGGATCCTGAAAATTACATATTTGCCCAAAAGTGACTAAGATGCGGTCTATAATTGGCCACTGAATAGACTATAATGGGGTAGCGGCTCTCAAAGTCCAGCAACACATACCCAGCAAAAATTAACCCAAGTACCTACCCCTGTTCATGGCAGACACATTTCCTGATTTCTACATTGCCAGATTTCCACACTTCCAAAGTTATTAGATTAAAACAACTAGAACACATTTCCAGATGTCCACACTTGCAGAGTTATGACATATTTCCACATTTCCACACTTCCAGAGTTACTACATAAAGACAACCAAGACACATTTCCACAATTCCACTTTTCCATATTTCCACACTTCCAGAGTTATTAGATAAAGACAATGAAGACATATTTCCACATTTCCACACTTTCAGAGTTACTAGCTATGCATAGATAAAGACAACCAAGACACATTTCCACTCTTCCAGAGTTACTACATAAAGACAACCAAGACTCATTTCCACTTTTCCAGAGTTACTACATAAAGACAACCAAGACTCATTTCCACATTTCCAGAGTTATTAGATAAAGACAACCAAGACACATTTCCAGATTTCCACATTTTCCACACTTCCACACTTCCAGAGTTACTAGATAAAGACAACCAAGAGACATTTCCACACTTCCAGGGTTACTAGTTAAAGACAACCAAGAGACATTTCCACACTTCCAGAGTTACTAGATAAAGACAACCAAGAGATATTTCCACACTTCCAGAGTTACTAGTTAAAGACAACCAAGAGACATTTCCACACTTCCAGAGTTACTAGATAAAGACAACCAAGACACATTTCCACATTTCCACACTTCCAGAGTTACTACATAAAGACAACCCAGACACATTTTCACATTTCCATATTTCCACACTTCCAGAGTTATTAGATAAAGACAATGAAGACATATTTCCACATTTCCACACTTTCAGAGTTACTAGCTATGCATAGATAAAGAAAACCAAGACACATTTCCACTCTTCCAGAGTTACTACATAAAGACAACCAAGACTCATTTCCACATTTCCAGAGTTATTAGATAAAGACACCCGTACGAAACGAGCAGCGCTGCTGCAGCGCTGCAGAATGACTTCAAGAAGCGCTACAAAAGAGCTGCAAAAGGGCTGGCTGCAGCAGTAGCAAAAAATGGCTGTTTCGCGCTGCAGTCAGGAAAGCCCTTTGACAGCGATAAACAGCGCTGTTGCAGCGGTGCAGAAAATTCCCGAGTCACGATCTGCGCTGCAAAGTAGCTGCAAAGTGGCTTCGAATTTTAAGACAAAGAATGTTGTTCCCGGTAATGGCCTACCACTCGTTAGTACAAAAAAAAAGAAATGCAGACTTCAATAATACAATAACCACGAAACATGGTGGAGGAGTTGACAAGGCCTTAGGAGGAGTAAAAACCACTAGAAAGACAAAATGCAACTGACACTTTATTAGTATCCACGCGTACACGTTACAAAAGCAAGTGACATAACAAATCTGCAACAGTTCCGCTTTGTAAATATTCAGCAGTCACGGTCACTCATCTAAATGTAAGAACTTCAATTAACATGCAGACATTGAAGTTTATCTTTTTTTTAAAAATAAAGAGAATAACAGCGACTGTTCTACATAAAGTTTACACCGGACAACAGCCAAATGATATTTTGATTCGTTGCAACACGTTAAGCCTGACATCGCTCACCTTGACGTTTTGTCCATGATCGACGATCTGCTACACTTTTTCGCGAAAGAAATCAACCCAATCTTACTTTGGTCCTCGTTAAATTTTACAATGGACTAAGGAACGTACATTATCGTTGAACGTTTGAATCTTGTAAATGCATTCGTGCCCCAGCGAAGATTCTTGCATCTGTGTTGCTTGCCCTGGTTCAATTCGTCGGTACTTCGCGTAGAATTCACCGTACAGTGCCGTTGTTTAAAAATACCTTTGAGCTGTTCCATCCAAAAACATCAACAGAACGTCCATCTCGAAACAGAACTAGATGCAAAACACTTACACAAATTTGTATGAATGTTTGCGCCTTTCATTCAACGGTCACAAATGTTTGTTTGGAGAGGTAATGGGATCTTATGCAAAAGTGCCGACCAATTAGATTACAGCCTAGAATGTCTCCAGGGAATTAGCGATAACATTCCCACACTCGCCAGTCACGGAATGAAATCTATTGAAAGCATAGAATTTGAAGGTTTATTTAATAAGTGATTTTCCTTACGCACAAGCTTACTCACATTTCTTAGAGGTACAGTCAAAGTTTTCTCGTTATAAAAGCCGTAATCTGTGGCAAGGCTTTTCTGGTGATTCATGTTATGTCAAGAACGTTTTGCTATCTGCAGATCGAGCGCAGCTGAATTGTAGCGTTACTGCAGCTACTTCGCAGCTTTTGAAAGTCGGCAACTCCGCTGCAAAACCGTTGCCGAGAGCTTCAAAGGCTGCACAGCGCTTTTGCATCCCGCTGCAACTTGAATTAAGCTGCTGTTTGGCTTCTAAAACGCTGCTAAACAGCTGTAATTTAGCTGTACAGCTATTTTGAAGCGATTTTGTGGCGCTGTACAGCGCTGCCAGTTTGGTACGGGCAACCAAGACACATTTCCAGATTTCCAGATTTCCACACTTCCAGAGTTACTAGATAAAGACAACCAAGGGACATTTCCACACTTCCAGAGTTACTAGTTAAAGACAACCAAGAGACATTTCCACACTTCCAGAGTTACTAGATAAAGACAACCAAGACACATTTCCACATCTCCACACTTCCAGAGTTACTACATAAAGACAACCAAGACACATTTCCACATTTCCATATTTCCACACTTCCAGAGTTATTAGATAAAGACAATGAAGACATATTTCCACATTTCCACACTTTCAGAGTTACTAGCTATGCATAGATAAAGACAACCAAGACACATTTCCACTCTTCCAGAGTTACTACATAAAGACAACCAAGACTCATTTCCACATTTCCAGAGTTATTAGATAAAGACAACCAAGACACATTTCCAGATTTCCACATTTCCACACTTCCAGAGTTACTAGATAAAGACAACCAAGAGACATTTCCACACTTCCAGAGTTACTAGTTAAAGACAACCAAGAGACATTTCCACACTTCCAGAGTTACTAGATAAAGACAACCAAGACACATTTCCACACTTCCAGGGTTACTAGATAAAGACAACTACGACACATTTTCACACTTCCAGAGTTACTAGATAAAGACAACCAAGACTCATTTCCACATTTCCAGAGTTATTAGATAAATACAACCAAGACACACTTCCAGATTTCCAGATTTCCACACTTCCACACTTCCAGAGTAACTAGATAAAGACAACCAAGACACATTTCCACACTTCCAAAGTTAGCCACGAAAAGTACTAGATTCTACGTTTACAAGACATTATACACGCTTTTAATAAGTCTGGGCGCCATCTTGAATTTTTAATTTATGACGTCATTCGCGGAAAGACTTCAGCCGCCATCTTTGAGTTTTGACTCGCGTGACAGTAACATGTCAGGACGAGAGGCAAAGTCAGGCCATTATGAATCGCTTTATTCCATTGTTTTCCTCTATAAACATTAACAAATACCAGCTAACTGTGACTTTTCCCAGGCTAAAGTAATCGCAGTTGTGCGGTTCGTCTTTGCAAGTCATACGGCGATATCATGTTCGATAACAAACGCAACACTAAGAAATGTGATATAAGATTGCAAGCGATCAGCATGTATTAAAAGCTAGCACGGCTGCAGCGTATTAAAAGGGAGGAGTACTCAACCGTAAAGGTGTGTAACCTAGTCTTTTTGTCTGTGGGTTCTAATTCTTACCGCTATATTCATCTCTCAAATATTGCTTTTTTGCTAGGGGCAGAAACATACAATCGTCTCTTCTTTCCATTTTGGGGATGATGACTTCGGAAGTACTGTATTGTATTGTCGTTTAATACTGGTCGGTAGCTTTGAAAACGTACAGCCTCCCCTCAATCGGTGTTTAAATGCCCCGTACACAAGCCATACCTTATCCCTAAGATCTAAAATAAGATAAAGTTGAACAGGAATCTGATTCGAGGGAAACCAAATATGGTAAACACCACAGGAGTGAGGTCTGTGTTGAGCCAAATGATGCTGAGAGACACAGCTTACACGAATCCGACGCTGAAATTTCTGAACTATAATCTGAGATTTTAGCACTAAAGGTAGAATGTAAAAAACTGCTAAATATTAAGTGAGATGTAACCAGTCTTTTTTTTAGGAATATTGAAGACAGCACCACTTTAATCCTACCTAACCCAAATGAACCTGAAAAAGGTGGACCCTTTTGAGCTCAGGCTTACCATTAACTATGTGACAATAAAACCTTGGATCAGAACTTGCCTTCTCAGGTGTCAAGTTTCATAATGTAAAAGGGCATTTGATTTCTAATAAACCATAACTTGATATTTATTACATGTCAGCCTTCTGACTTACAGAAGGTACTTAACAAGGTTTTTTTTTCAGAGAAGGCTGGGCCACATGTCCATCCGGGCATTTTCTTAATGGGTTCCACAGAGGAGGAAGTAATCAGTTAAAAAGTATCCAGTGGGCACAATGTTGTAAACCTGCACTACAGCCCCACTGGTACAAAGAGTGCAAAGATCAAGATGTTGGTTCTGGTGATACATGGAAATGTAACGATGAAGGATTCTATGTAGTTGGACTACACAGAGGTACATCTGAGACGCTTTCTAGCATCAACAAGCTTAGATGCTGCAGTATGTATGACGGTGAGTAATTGTCCCCGTGAGGAAGGGGAACTTGAAAAGGATCAGGTAGTGGTGCTTCACAGGGGTCTGGAATACCCTACGCTGTCTAAGGCCAAAGAAAAACATTCCCATCCCCATCTCGGACTACAGAGTTCAATTGTACACCCCATCTCAGAGCGCGAGTGGGAGTGTGTTTTTAATTATGATTTTTTTCCAGATTAGTATGAAATGTGATATTACTTTCGCGTTTCAATACAACCCGATTTAGATAAACAAAGAGTTTGACTTAGTTAAGTTTAATCTTTTCCGTCTAAAAGGTAGAATAAAGGCAAGAATTTGAAAATGTTTTCGGTTGTACATGTACGTGGTCAGACCTATGCGGGTTTGTGGCCGTGATCTGTCTAAAAAACCGTAGTGGATCCTTTTGCCACTTTAGAAGAGGCTCATACCTGAACAGGTGGAATACGCTATTTTTGCATTAGATATTATTAATAGTAAAAAGCAGTCTTTTTATTGCGTTTTTTTGAAGCTGGTAAGTTGCGGTCACAAACGTAAACCTTGGCAAAGCCCCAATAACCTCTGCCTCTAATTCCATGCGGTATCATGAATCTACATGTACTTGTATCTGCATCTTGAGTGTTACATGGTTAGCAGGGGATGTTAAAGAACCCACACACTTATCGCGAAGAGTAGGGCACGGAGTCCCCGGTGTTGTGGTCTGGCCTTGTCTCACGGACTGGTGCTTCACATAGGGTTAACCTCATTTCGCCTTTCCACCTTGCACAGAATTGTCCAAGAAGAATTGCAATATCTATGTCTATAACCGATACCACTTTTCCTTGCAGAAGTCCTACCACTGAAGTCGGGAGATGAAGTGAAGACGAGAACGATGGATATGACACTTGATAAGTTGGCTCTTTTGGCATTTTACTTGGGATACGGTTGGTCAAAAGGCTGCAGAGGTCAGCATAATGGCCAAGATTTTATAAGAGACGGTGCCAGCTGGAGGTCTCACTACCAACGCGGATGCAGTGGAGAGAAGGCAAAGGAACGTCTGAAGATCTTTTACGAGAACTTTTCTTTTAAAGTAAAGAACATCGACTACGAGGAGCCAGAAATTCAATCAATCAAGCCTATAGTACAGGATGTTGGAGAGATTAACAACCTAGATTCGACTTCAACCCAAACAAGTATTTCACGAGAAATAAAGTCTGTTCGTACCGTCACCCATTCTTCTACCACCAGGTTTAAGTCCACCTTTGGAGCTTCAATAACACTCAGTTACACATCTCCCGGAACGTTCGGCTTAGCTGCTGGAACTTTCAAAGCGTCCATAACCTTGTCTGGAGGAAGCGAAAGTGCTGGACTGAACACAGATGAAGACGGTAAGATCACGTGGGACATCGTTAAAGTGATAGACAAGCCGACCACAGAGGCCAATTCAGGATCATCATACCAAATAACCACTTCCAACAAGGAAGTGAACGTACCTTACAAAGCCACCATTCAAGTCCAGTTCACGGTCAGATTTGAAGGCTTCCTGGAAAAGAAAAACTTCCACGAGACGCACAAAGGTAAAAGCAACCGACCTTCCTTTGAATACACATTTGGCTCAGAGGGCGTTCCCTTTTACAAGTTCTTGAAGCAGGTCAGTGAGCGAGGTGACAGTCCTTGGCTATGGAGTGAGATGATGCATGGACAGGACGAGGAAATGAATAAGTACGGTCAGGAGGTAATCGACCTACTGACCGACGAGAGCCTGTACGAGTTCGAACTCCATGGCACGTTTCATGACATGGCAGGCTTGGATTTCAATGTGGATTTTGGTGATAAACCAGTTGCAAATGTCCCAAGTGCAAATGCTACGCTTGCTGTGTGAGCAAGAGAAAAAAGCAAATCATTATGATTTTGCTTGTAATGCTTTGCTATCATATTAAAAGACTAAAAAAATAGAAAGTCTGGTTGTACTTGCGAAATGCACTTATTCTGGTTGAAATCTCACTTTCCAAAAAAAAGTCCACATTCTAGTGCTGGGATTGGGACAAGGAAGTAACTGGAGTTTCGCTATACCATCGACCAATTGAACAGAACAGGTGTTACCACGACCGGTCCGATAGCTATATAATAGTATTCGCCTCTTGAATTCGCAGCAACAGCATCAAGTTTATTTTCCTTTCCTTCGTACATTTATAGATTACGGGTTCGACTTTTTCTCGAAGCCGTTCATGTCGACCTGCCAGTACATGAATTTGTCATATCATTTTGACGGGAATATATGTCACTTAGTACTTCCTAGAGAAAGAAAAATTTCTGAGACTTCTGCCTGATCACTTTTATAGACTTCAAGCGCAAAATCACTTCTTAGTACTAACTGGCAGATTTTAGTTCAAAGAATTTGGCCAGATGTATCAACACAATACCCTTAGGTCAATGATCGCCTTTATTCTAATCCTTCGTCCGCTTGACACTTGATGGCTGTTTAGAATAATTTAAGGAGTCACTGAAGGAAGATAATCTTATTGTATTCAGATGAGTAGCTACTGAATCACCAGTCTGACTTGACGCATTAGGTACCAAAGTAAACGGTAAATACAACAACAACAAAAAACAAAAGCCTAGTGTCTTGTTTCATCATGAATGCGTGGATGTTTGAATTATGGAGCTTGGAGTAAGACACTTCTTCGAGGTTTTTCATAAAAAGTCCTACAGTAAATACTCACTAATATATATCACTGCATTCACTGTAAATCTTCTGTCCGCTTAAGGAAGAAAGACGTTCCTTCTTAATCTCTTAATTTGTTTATTGCTAAGTTTATACGGAGACTGATTTTCGTTCTTTTTCTAATGTTCTTCGTTTTCAGTCTTCAGGGTCGGGGCTGGCCGTTAAAGCAATACCCGCTCTTACACCACGCCTCATGTGCTCTGTCATGTTTTATTAAATTCCTTATCACTTTTGTTGTCCTTCCTCTTTAAAAGAGGTGAGGTTAAATACTTTCGTTTAAAATCTCGCATACTAGGGCTTTATCAACAGACTTACCATTAAGAGTCTCCTTTTTCAGCCCATGTGTATTAATATACAATATAACATAACACTACGCAACATAAGACAGCGTTTTGAGGCCTATCTGTCATCCGTAAGTTGTAAACCGGTTAAAAGTAAGTCTATCTTTTTGTCGAGAGTCGAGGGTCGAGGGTGCCATGTCGAGGGTTGAGGGTAATATGTCGAAGGTCGAGGGTAATATGTCGAGGGTCGAGGGTTAATATCTCACAGACCTGATTATTTATCAACCTCCCATAACATTCAAATTCTTGACTTCTTTTATTCAATTGCCGGATTTCATGTGGCGTCATCATATTCTAAAATTAAAAATTACTTAACCCGCTGAGGTTTTAGTTTCATCAGATATAAGATCCTCTAAGAAAATTAACTTGACGTTTTTCGACGTTTTTTTTCTCATAGACCACGTTTAAATTTCCAAGCTTTTGCGTTGCGTGACATTAAAATGGCCGTCCGAAAAGGCTGTCGCGTAGGTCAAAAAGCCGCACAGACCTAAACCTTGGCGAGGTTGTAGTTATATCAATTATCCATCATCTCCCAGATTCTTGACTTTATTTATTCAATGGTTATAATCTTTATTTTTGATGAAAACCTGCTACAGTTCCGTAGCGTGACAATGAAAACAAGCCATTCGCTGTCCGCTTACAACATAGCGTAGTCAAAAACGAGCATTCTGTTCCCTGTTTGATCCGCTTTTTTTTTTAGACGGGATGCCATGAACACCCTAGAGGAATTCATAACATCGAACAGTGATGGATAGGTGAGAGAGACTAACCGGATGGTTTTGCTTAACAAAAAGTGCTTTTGTAAACTCCTGGCGAGCGTTCTTTTGGCTGCCGTCCCCCACTCATCTTCCCAACGAACGTTACTTCAGGAGGTAGGAGGCTTATGCTGTGTCTACTTGCACTTCAGCATTTACTGAGGTAAACATTTACTGAGGTCAAGTTACTAAATCTTCGAAAATTCGTACAGTGTTTATACCGGCTAAAATAATCCAAGTTAATAATATGTCAATACTCGTGCCGCCTCACCAACAAATCGTGGCCATTGCTTTTTATTCCATAATACTTTGGCAGAATTCGGCTTGCTGATTGTACTCTTGGTATGGATTACTATAAGAGCAAAATTGCGGATACGTTGAATATGCATCCTTCCCGGAAAGGCAATACAGTCCGAATAAGTTTGCCGCAAGAAAGTATGAAATAATACGAACAATAAGAAATACAATGCTATCTGACACCTGACGGATTGTCTGCCGTAAGGTGAATTATCCAAATGTTTTCTGTTTTCTGCCATGACTGGTAAAAACAACATGTAGACTGATCGCTTCGCTCTTCGCCGCTCGCGCGTGTGACTCGCTCGCAGGCAATCGAAAACGTGACGATCGCGCGATCTGGACACCGTAGAAAGTGAAATATGCCGCTGCACGCTGATTATCTGTCATTATGACCTCGGTTACCAACCTAAACCATGCCTGATCACATGGTAATTGATACTTTTACCTTGGTAAACTTTCTATTGTCTTGCGTGACATTTACCAAGGTATCAGTTTGCGTTTACACACGCAAAATGTTTACCTAGGTAAGTAAACTCTAATACTTCGATAAAGTGCTCAAGTCTGAACACGGCATAAGGGATGGACAAGAAAAAGCACAAGAGAAACCGACAGAAAATCGTGCACATATTCACCAAGTTGAAAAAGAATTCTTACTCTCAAAAAGTGCTCAAACACCTCCCCCAAACCCTCAAAATATAATGGTCCACATTAAGTATTGGGAAAGTAGACGAAAGTCAAATAAATGATGGCGTGATTCACACTAAACTGGAAGGTCATTTCCCTAAGTTTACTCAGTTGCATTGCAAATATTAAATTGATGCGCGGAACGAACAGCGAAGCTGCGAAAACGAGCGGCGAAGCCGCGAGGCGAGAAACCGCCTGCCCGGATCATTGGCCTTTTTTATTGCCGCCCCTTCCAACACCTTATATTTATCCATTTAGTCCAACCAATCAGATAGGGGTAATATGAAACTTGCTGATTTTAAAGCCAGTTTCGCGCGAAGTTGATAACAACAGATCAAAACAAATCGATCCATGCGCTTTGTCGATGGCGGCGAAAGGTGATAGGTCGAAAAAAATCGTAGAGAGAGGAAGACTTCTTAACTCGAGAAGTGCGAATGATTTTTGCAGATTGTGTTGTTGTCCTTAGAAGATTAAGTTCAGTGATTTCCAAAATACTTTGTATATTTCAACGGAAAACTTGTTCAAAGTCTCGAAGATAAAAGAGTACCCTTGGCAGAACTGTGTTCCGAGATTGAAGCTGAAAAATTAATCGGCCGCGATATCCGAACGTGTTTGCAAGGCTTGTGGAAGGAAAGTCAGGAATGCATACGAGCTGTACAATTTGATCAGTTCTGGTCTACAGAGAGAAAATGAAGCCAATATGATCCTGCCGGCACAGCAAAGTGACGGCAATGCGAACGATGCGAGCAGATTTAAAAGGCTTTTACCTTTGATCGTGTCTTCGCCTGATCGAACATGAGGACAAAACCTACTGGAGAAGAACTCTCTAATCTTTTCAGGGAAAGAAGCACGCTCTTCCCTTTCAAACGACGAAATAAATGAGTAGCTTGACATCCCTTGAATGTAAGCTGATCTCACCTGATGAAAATTGCTTTGGCTGATCGAGTAATACGAGCATCTGTCGCTTGGGGGATTAACGAAACTTTTGATTGACGTGTTTGTCATTCTCAGCCAATCCGAATTTTTCCGAAATCCAAGATCCGAGCAGGCAGTTTTTCCCTCTCTCTCGTCACCATTCTTCTCGAGGCTTCGTCGCTCGTTTTCGCAGCTTTCCGCGCCACAAAAAACCCACCCGAAACCGCCATCTACGCAGGCTACGATCTTGCAGGGTTGCAGGGTTTCGGGGCTTCAGGTGTACTCCCGCCTTAAGGGTACTCTGGAATAACACGGCTATTTAGGGAGAGAAGCAACACTCCAAGAGTTAAGCGCTGAACCTGATTATCCATGGGGGTCCAGAAGGAATTAATCCTTCACCACGAAACAATAAGGTTGCGGGCACGTTAATAGTAAAGGCGTCTATAAAATAATTTAGATGGCCCCAGAGTAGGCCCTGCTCTCAATGGAGTTGATTAACCTATCAATACGATTCTAAAAATTGCAATTTGAATTACTAAAATGGTGCCAGCGTTCAAAGGATCTTCTTGAAAATTTATAGGAAACTAATCACAATTTGATTGCAGAAGATCAAGGAGACGACTAATACTAGCTTCTGGTTGGCTGACTTGACTCCACGAAGATTAAATTAATAAATAACATTGTTATACAGCTGGAGTTTAGCTGTATCTAACGCGCGCTCTTATTGGTTGATTTATGGTCACGTGCCCCTGATCAAATTCAAATGTATCCTGACCTGGATACAACTGCGCAGTTGTTGCCCGCGCGCCGAATACAACAGCACGTTTCTTAAGGGAAAGTCTAAATATATAACAAAGCACTTAACGTATGTTCCCTCCCGAAACTAGTTAATTTTGTTTTCCCTCGAGTCCTGATGTTTCCCTCGACTTCGTCTCGGGAAACATCAGGACTCTCGGAAAAACAAAACTAACTGTTTCCCTCGGGACCATACATTAAGTGTATAATATTTAGGGAGGAAGCCACATCACCTGGCCGAATTGAAATTTGGACATGAGGGTTTTACAGGAGGGAGGAAAACCGGAGGCCCTGAGAAAACTCTTGGAGTAAGGCAAGAACCAGTAAAAAACTCAACTCACATATGGCACCAGGCCAGAATCGAGCCCCGGCCACATTGGTGGAAGGCGAACGCTCTCATCACTACGCGATCCCTGGTCACCGTTGAATAAAGCAAAGATGCATGGTAAGTTAATTAATGAAGTAGGCTTATGTGACTTCATAATTCTTCTTTTAATCGTCTTACATTGACAGCAAGTACATTCTGCATTCTAGCTATCACTCAAACTTCTTGCTTTTACCTTAAGAGCATCAGTTATGGTCTTGCTCGTCTTTTTGTTCAACAGGAAGAGGCTTCATCTCTTTACTGTTGTCGATGGGTTTAACCTTGGGTGCGGGAGGATGGATGCGAGGAAACACGGTAGGCTCAGGCTCTGCTTCATCTTCGTAGTCAAAGTTCTTAACAGGAGGAACTTCCAGTTCCTTGCTGTTGTCAATAATCTTGACCTTAGGTGTCGGAGGGTATATGCGTGGAAACCCGGTGAACTTTTCCGCTTGGTCGGCCTGTGCAGTCAAATTCGTCATTGCATCTTCCATTTCGTCGATGGATCGTGATGGATACCAATATGACTTTACCTCATTTTCTGTGGTGTCCTCAAACTGGCCTTCCAAAGTGAATGCATAGAAATCTTTATTTGTCAGGCGATCGATGTGCCATTGTGCGTATGGGTATCTTTGCTTCATAGCATGCCATTGCCAGGGGTGCATGTTCTGCTCGACCTGGTCTTTCAGGTCTTCGTAAAAAGGTTTCTGGGCACTTCCAAAGCTGTGCTCGACTTCCTCACGATCACCAGAGCCGCGATGATCCTGATGGAAATTGGTATTATCTCCGTTGTAACCATCTCCCCATTTCATGTAGCCATTCAGTTTAACAGAGAATGTGGGAATGATAGTAGCTGTGTAGGGAATGGTCACTTGTTGGGGCTTTTTAAATGCATGCCATTTAGCAAAGGTTTTCGGTGGAAGTTCTTTCTTTTCAACCACCTTTAGAATGTGCCAGTCGTCACTCACGGTGGTTTCTTCTTGATCTCCTCCCCATCCGTAACTATAACTTGCTTTCGCGGAAAACCCCACCCCACCAGTTGCGGTTGGTGGCTCATACTCCATGCCAGCTTCTATTGCAAAATGCTGATCCCAGCTACTTCGCTGGACATTTTTCAGGGTACTTGCTACTCTAATGTCAACATGCACTTCAGATGAATAACCTAGGTTACTCTTTCTGTTTGTAACGACCTTGCTGTAGCTTCTGTCCGGGGAATTCATCAATTCTTTTTCCTGATCCAAGGTAATAGGGGGCTTGATGGACTCTCCAAATTTCACATCTTTCAATGTGAAGGCAAAGTTCTCGTACGTAATCTTTAAGCGAACGTCCTTCTTGGGTCCTCCTTTAAGTTCACACCGATCCTCTCTGTATGTCGACTCCCAGGTGTCGCCTTTCTTTCGAAAATCTTCGCCAGCTCTGTCAGCCCAGCAACCACCAGTCCATGCATACCCCATATAGCTTGCCAGCTTACCGATGTAATCCATTGTGGTATCCATAACGCGTTGCTTTAGTTCGTCTAGTGTCTTAAGTTGGGGGATTTCTAGAAAAAGGAAAGGCACCAGTCATTCTTCTTCTCTTCTAAAAAGCGGTTTGCCCACGAACTTCCGTTTTATATGTACACTTTTTCTACAAGATCCAAATGTGTTTCTCATTGTTCACAGAAAATCCTTAATCGCAAAAAAAAAAACAAAACAAAAACAAAACATAAACTGACCTTTATACTGCTACTTAAACTCCTTTTATATCAAATTAAACCAAAAATTGTAACTTTTGCAGAATTTTACTTTGAATTGATGTTTCAAGCTTTGATGGTTAAATATTTACTACTTGGAACCCTTGCCCAACTGGGTCCAAAATATGCGATTTCCCATACGCTAGTTTTTGCGTGACCAGAAAAGACGTTCTAAAGTTAGTACGCTAATCAGAAGAATAACTTCCGCTATAATAGCATTTGAGTAGCGATTTAAACTTGTGAATAGAAACTAAAACCCATTCCAGAGCAGACTATGTTAATTTTTCACAACTGTTGGTATAGGACAGTACTTGCATGTATATGCCTGGAGGAATACTTGAGATAGTTGTCTCGGGGCTGCACTTACATGTAAGTTGTGTAGTACCAAATTTCATCAATACCACCATAACGTAAGTTTAAACTAGAGTAACCTCTTAACTCACCCTCCTCCATTTTGCAACATTTAAACTTTTTAATGCTGGACAATTTGCCGCCAGAACGTTGTGTATGGAAGCCAGCGATGAAACTTCCCTCTTCCTTGCACTCACTGAGACCAGCTTTGTTAAAAGTGTTGCTTACATCCTCGTCATAGCAATCTCTCCACCGATAGGGATGATGAGATGATTTACAGCATATGCCCCAATCAACGCTGCCGACGTTGCTGCTGTCTCCGCGGGCCAGTCCTCTGAGATAAAAACCTTGTCGGCATGTGCTTATTCCAGTCCTAGAGAGCATTTAACAAAATAATCACTGTTATAATCGTCGTCATCATCATCATCATCATCATCATCGTCATCACCATCAATATCGTCATCATCACCTTTCAATAATTATCAATAATAATAACAACGATTGCTCTAACAACAACAACAACAACAACAACAACAACAACAGTAACATTGACAATAGGACGGCGAAATAAAAAAAGAACAGCTACACCAATGCTGATGACAACACCAAGCACCAAGAGTGATAAAATACAGTTAATTGAAGACTTCAATACCAATCACTTAAGGTGAGTCCATCGAAAGAAAGGAGTATTACAAATTTTGTAAAACTTGGGCCGCTTGGTGATTATGTTATAAATATTGCAAAAGTCCACCGTGCTCTTTTTTGCCCGATATGGATGGCAGTTGTAGTAACTTTTTCATCCCCGAGGTTTTCCTTAGGAACCCTAGTCATCAGGAAGGAGAACCATAATTTCTGAAAAAAAGTCATTTCTTGCATTAAAAAGTTGAAGCCGTTCAACAAAACAGACTTTGATCTTACCTTGTAAGCTATCTAAATTGGAAAGGAATTAGGATTTCCTCATAGGAAATAGACGCTCGTCTTAATTAAGGCAATTGGAGGAAACGCTACTTTCCAATAAAAGAGATTAACGCGAAAGAGGTGCTAAAATTTGTAAATGAGGCAAATAAACGCGACTTATTAAACCAAGAAAAAAAAATTCGAAATGCAGACAGTGTTCGTGGAATTGTCCCTAAACGTAGGGGTTAAGCGAAGTAATCCGGCCACTAATAAGCGAAGTAATATGGCATAGTATCGAGAAGTAATATGGCATAATATGGCTTAATAGTTAAGTAATATGGCTAAGTTAAAGTTACTAAGTTAAGCGAAGTAATATGACATAGTATCGAGAATCTGGAGCGACAATAATGAAAATTAAGGTCGCGGAAATTAACCCTTAACTTAATCAAAGACACGGAAATTAACGTTAACAAAAGTTACTGCCACTTTAATTACGCAAATTTTTAACATTCGCGTAAATTTCATGAAGCGTTAATTTGCGTAGGTAATCGTACGTCCAATTAAGGATTTACACTACGAGTGATATTTGAAAATTCTCTCAAAATTGCACGAGCCTTTAGGCGACTACAATTTGAAAGAATTTTTAAATATCACGAGTTGTGTAAATCCTTAGTTGCTCGAACTTTCATACGATTACTCATTTATAATAAGACTGATAAGATTAAGAACGCGCGCGCGTTAATTTTCACTGCAGTGCAAGTTGAAAATTAATGATAAATTGGCCTGCTCTCAGCCAATCACAATGAAGTAATTTCTCAGTCATATAACCTCTGTAAGCTATGAAGCAAATGGAAGAATGGAAAAAAGGGAAAATGGAAGAATGCTCTGCGTGCGCACATAACCAGCATTTCCTAAGAATTCCTAAAATTCTGTACAGAATTCAAATAAAAATACCACAAACCAGAATTTTAAACTTTGCCGTAAATCGCGACAAATCGTACTCAACCATATGTCATTAAATTGATGCATTAACTAGTGAATGTGACTGTGCCTTTTTTGGGGAAAAGGAATATATATTTCGCCGTCGAGCTTAGCTTGAAGGAAATTAATGTTGCGTATATGCACGCGCTCGTTCGCGCACGCTAATGCCTCGAAAATCGTGCGCAGCAAGGATGCGCAATGCAATTCGGTGGAATCACCTTAATCAATTGATCGATATATTGGTCACGGCGGGAATTTCGCAGAATTTTGAAGCCGTTCCATGTTGTGCAACACTTTTTATTCAGATAACGCCACCTTTTATGACGTCATAAAAGATATTTATTTAACCTTGGCTTCATAATGTAGTTTCCTTGTTTTTCTGATGTATTTTTAGGGAATCACTTTTACCTACAAAGGCCAAGATAAACTCTGAAATGGATTTCAAAATGTGAAACCAAATATGTTTCTCACCCATCCATTTTGGTGATCCAGTCAGGCATTTGGCATTGTGTTGGCGTGTTCCAGAAAGCTTGATCTCGCAAGCAACACTTAGCTTTCTTTATTCCATTTAAGTTGTCCGTCCCATCCCGTTCAAAGCCGACGACGTAGTAATATCCGTCAAACCTTTCACACCTCATTTCTCCCTTTTTGTTAAAACTATTGCTCCAATCTTGCATAAAACATAATCGCTCAGCAGCTAAGCAAGAAAGAACACACACAGGTCATTTAGTATTATAAAATAGCTAGCAAAACTCGCGCTGCCAAAGCGCGTGTATCATAATCCAGCTATCGACTGCACCTCGAGCAACTTTTGAGCTTTTTTCGTGCCTCCAAACCCTCTTTCCCCTTGCATCCTAACTCAATGAGAAAGCATAAATCGAATGTTGAAACAATGAGACAAAACAGGCGGGCCTTTCACCACCACTTAAGATTAAGTAAAACATTCCAATCCCAGGAATTAAATCGTACGCCGGTCTCATTTCTGATCTGTCTTGGCAGAAGCTGATTAGTTTTATTGGCAGGTACTGATGATTAGCTTCGGTTTCCGTGGGGCTGATCTAGGTGATACAACTTTGCCACTGGCGACAAGTTTACGACACGTTTACGGCACAATTTACAGCTACCTTGCATCTGTCATATGTAAGACCTAAAAAGTTTTGTACGATTTTGAAACATACTCTAAAACCCTAGGGCAAAAGTTGTCTAAGACAATCTTCAATGTTGAAATTCATATGCGATACGATTTTACACGACGCAAGCCGTGCGCCACAAAACTTGCATGTTGTACCATCTAAATCTGTCCTAAAGATAACACCGCTGATTTCCTTGCTAACAGATCAGTGACGTTACCCTGACAGTTCACTGGTATCTGCTTTGGCCCTGGTTTGTGAGGAGGCCTTTTTATCTAATAGACCTTTTTCGCTTGTACATTTTGTTTTCCCAATACAGATCATGTGATGATACTCAGGAGATTTGATCCTTTGTCTTGTTCATTAAAAGGAGTACATGCAAGCATGAATATGTCTGCATGTACTCTTTTTAATGAACAAGACAAAGGATCAAATCTCCTGAGTATCATCACATGATCTGTATTGGGAAAACAAAATGTACAAGCGTAAAAGGTCTATTAAATGAGAAAATCACAGAATGACCCAGCCGGATCAAGCTCCAACTCGCAACCTTCAATCTTTAGTGCACACAGGGTTCAAAGTAGTTCAGTTTGATCGTTGGGTCTAGCCCTGTTAAATTGATCTTTCTTTTCTTGCTAAATTCACTTTCAACAGTTTTCTGCTTTCATGTATCCTATACTCCTCCACCATGTGTTTCGTGGCGGTTTGTACGACATTCGCAGGCCATTTTATTAGGTTAAACATCCATCACGTGACCAAGCGATCGACACAAAAAGATGTTCCCTTAAACTTTAGAGCCCAACCCCCTCCCCATACATACCCACCTAGTCAAACCAACAGGGCTGAATAACGTCTGGGCATGTGCAAGATCTCATGGTCCGCGCTGCTGCGAACGGCCTGGGCACAATAACAAACCTCGAAAAAAGTGGCGGCGCTTTTAAAAAGTTTCGTATAGCGCCCGGTTTATGGTGAAAAAGTAGAGCCAAACTGAAAACGGTAGAAAGAAATCTTTACACTAGTTCCCTCGATCATTGGCCGGCACATACCTTTTTGTACACTAGGGTTTAAAGTTTGTACAACTAGTGCAAACAGCGCGTGAACATGATAGATTTATCGAGGACTTCGGAGATGACATCTTATATTCTCTGGTCTCCTTCAGCTTTTGAACATGGTACTTCAACTTTGAACCTAAACCACCTGCAGAACATTCACCTCGGAAAAATAGTGCTGACGGACGCATTCGTAATAAGACCTGCTGACATAATTTGATTTTGTTGTGATGACATCTCGCACATGCGCAGACGTTATTCAGCCCTGTCAGTCAAACCAACCCCCCACTTGAACTTTTCGAATTCTCACACTATATCCCAATTCCCTAACGTAATATTCCACCCTAACATGAATAACCAGTTTATCATATTTTATGCACTTACCTGAAAAGGACGAACTTAAGCTACACACCAAAAATGCCAACCAAACTGTGCTACTCGGCCACATTATAAGTAGGAATGCTCTTCACGATATGGCTGTAATAGAAGTACAATTTCGGGTCACGTAAAGAACTATATGTTGACTGCTGGGTTGACGTAGGTACTCTGCCCTTTCGGAATCCTCATTTCGCTATTTGCCTAGTGAAGAGCGAAATACGCCCTTTCCGAATCGACATTCCGCTATTTGCCGAGTAAAGAGTGAAACTGGATTTCAGAATCTGAATTGTGGCTTCCTTGTAAATGAAGTTTAAAACTTTTTTGTCATCGGGAACAATTTCTTTTTGTCAACAAGAAATTACCAAAACGTTAAGAAAACGAAACGAGGACAAAACCTATCCAAGTAACCGAAGGTAAGATTGAGTTCTTGTGCTTTTCATGAGGTCTTGTTGTTAGACTCTTTTTAAGTTACCAGAATTTCTCTGGCACTTGTGAAAAACGATGCGACGCTAGCCCCATTAAATTAATTCACGGTGAACTAAACTCAGTGATTCCTATTGGTTTTTGAAGAGAGTTTCTACTGAGTGAAAGTGTACACCAAAATTAGGAATCTTTGGCAGGACAAAAACAGTTTCTTTTCCCTCTACAACAGGAATTACACTTTACAGAAGTATTTGACACATAAATAAAGTTTCTTACTTACTTAATTACTTACTTACACAGACATGCATTTAATATAAACACGGCTAACTAGATAAAGACTTGGACAGTAAAAGCGCTATATCTAACAGAAAAGCACAAATATTTCTCAGCTGCTAAAGAAAAAAAAAAGGGATGCATTTCACATTCTACGTGAAAAATGTTTTTCATTCTCTTAGCTATACAAAAAAAAATATGTTTCTTAAAGTTATATTAATATAAGATAATTAGCATCGATCTCATTTTTTAAGCTGTATATAGTTACTCTTGATTTTACTCTCTGCACCAATCTTGTCTTTGCGACAAAGGAGTAAAAGTTCTATTTCACTGGCTAGTATCTTTTAGATTTTGGCCAAAGGTAATTATAAAAAAAAAGAAAAACAAAAATCGTTGTTTTACTCACCACAAGGATGTGTGCGTTAATCTACTTGAGTTCTTCCTTCCTCTTGGGCAGGCTGAGTTATGATCGTTTTAAATTTCACATTAATTATAAGAACACCAGCACTTTCATGACATCTTGTCACAGGCACCTGTGCAGCGCGTTGTTGATTACACTAGATTGAATTCCATTTTGACACTTTATTCTTGAGTAGCGTGGAATAAGTCAAACATTAAACAGAGCATTCACGGTATCGTTCCTCGATGAAATAATGGAAAACTTGTCCAACTGAAATATGTTTGTGCCATGATGGATAACAAAATAAATTCACTTCCTCTCTAGTGTTTTTTTAAAACGTAGACCTTCTGGAACAATTAGCTATCTAAAAAAAGTCCAGACTGGGCCATGCTAAAAAAAAAATTACAATGGTTACAACTTTCTTTTTGTTTTTTAAATCATGAATTCAGAAACAGTTTAAGAAATATCAGTTTGAAATACTTCTAAAAATACAAACCATTAAAATGCTCGCAGTTGTATTTATTTCATCTTATGCTGCTATTGTTTGGTTGTAGCGCTCTCTCTTTTAGCTTAAACCACGTGAGTTTCTAATGGAGAGTTTGTTTTATCCAAAGTCAAGGTTCATCGAGTCAGAAAAGTACTTTCATTTTTCTGCTATAATATTTTTCTTGGTAGTAAATAAAAGTTTTGGTTCATCTTTGGAAATAGTATTTCTGCTATATTTTTAATGGTATTTTTTTTTATTCCGCGAAAGATTTTACGATTTGTCAATAAACAGAAAATCTTGTGGTCCTTTCCCCCTTTTAAACTACAAATATCTTTACATCAGCACATTTTGGTGAGAAGCGAATAAATTTGAAAATTTAAATTTGGCAGCGTGAAAACCTAGCCCATCACTTCTTTCATACGATAGTGCTTTGGCTTGTACTTCTAAAAAGCTGCATTACAACTTCACGCCGATTTAAGTGTGTATTTCAGAAATGGGCATAACCGTTGGATTTTGTACCCTGAAGGCTCAATTTATTCCTCCGGACTTTCACTTCGAGAGTGCTCGTTTTGACTCGGTTCAAAGAAGGTGAGATTTTATGGCGGAAGACTCAGAAGCGAATTCAAAGGAATTGAACAATGGCTTACTTAAGCTGCCCAGGGCTGCGAAGTTTTAAAGGTATCCTTTTGTTCTAAGTGTGTCAATAAAACTGCAGAGAATTATCGCACATATTGCGGTAGAAGTTTATGGATTTAAGTCTTTCGCAAAACTTCTTCGACTTGGACACATATTTTTCAAACAGGAGAATTTTGAGAGCTTCAAAAAGAGATCTTGAACGAGAAATTTCGACCACTGTGGACCGAGATTGGATTTTTTTTCTTTCCGAGGTTTCGAAGTAAAAAGGAAGCCGCTAAAGCATTTTTTCCCGCCTATCGCTTAATAAAATCCGGTCGAGAGTTATCCATTCATTCAGTCTTAACAGTTATTCATTTCTTCAGAGCAATAAAACTATACAAGCGTTTCTACAAAATTATTTCGAGGAATTATGAACTCCGCAAGTTTTGATCTGCGGATTACAGCTCTTGTTTGATTTTAGATATTTCTCGTCTCACTCGACTACTCCGCGAATCAGGTTGTCATACAAATCGGTGAACTGACAATACGCGGTTATTTCGGGCCCTGCAGTCACGTAACTGAAACGCAAGGTTTTGTTCAACAAAAAAAAAACTGAAAGGCAAGCGAAAACGTCCAAAAAAGTGAAATTACACTCTAATAAAACTGTTTCATCCCGTTAAATGCATTCACCGCTTGCGTTGTTTACATTTTGAAAAGAGTTGTTCGCTCTTGATTGCAGAGCTACTGAATGAATTCTTCGTTTTCACTGTCACGCAATAAACACGGCACCAAAAAATACATTCGAGACCGTCCAGTGGAAGAAGCCAAGAAAATGAAATGTTATAAAAGACTAATATATAAACAATTTGTCCAAATCTCAGGTCTTTGTGGCCCACAGTTTCTGAGTTAGTTGCCGAAACATTTCACGCACCTTTGTAGAGCTTTGTAAGGAGAC